TAGTACAAAATCCAAAGGAACTACTTTGGGAAGAAACAAGCCAGGTTGATGCTGAAGTTCATCTGGAAGAGTAAATGTGAGAGAATGACCAATAAAATTTTTAAATTAAGAATAATAATAGGGAACTTGAACTACCAGGTATCAAGACCTTCTCCTATAAAGCTGGAGTAAATTAAAATGGGGCATAAGAATAGCTTGATGAATGAGAACAGAGCATCTGCAAACGGACCAATAGGAATATATTTATATTTTTTATACGTAAGAATAGCATTTGAATTTATAGAAAAATATATAATATATGGAGAGTTACAAACAGAAATTCAGAATATACAAAGTAATACTTCAAATCAGTGGGAAAAGGATGGGTTATTCCATGTTGTTGGGAATATTGGCCATTCATTTGAAAGAAATGTTCTATCATATGTCTATGGTGTATTATATATAAATTCTTTGTTGATCAAAGATATGAATATAAAGAAGAAAAATATAAAAACATATTTATAGGGGCACCTAGGTGGCTCAGTCAGTTTAAGCGTCTATCTTCAGGTCAGATTATGATCCCAGGGTCCTGGGATAGAGACCCACAACCACAACAGGCTCCCTGCTCAGCAGGAAGCCTGTTTCTCCCTTTTACTCTGCCCCTCCCCCCTGCTTGTGTGCTCTCTCTCTCTCTCTCTCTAATAAATAAAATCTTTTAAAAATGTATTTCCTGGGGCGCCTGGGTGGCTCAGTCGTTAAGCATCTGCCTTTGGCTCGGGTCATGATCCCGGGTTCCTGGGATCCAGCCCCGCACTGGGCTCCCTGCTCAGCAGGAGGCCTGCTTCTCCCTCTCCCACTCCCCCTGCTCGTGTTCCCTCTCTCGCTGTGTCTTTCTCTGTCAAATAAATAAAATCTTTAAAAAAATAAAATAAAAAAATAAAAATAAATAAAAATGTATTTCCTTTAAAAATATTTATAACGTTTAAGTAAGACTAAGTTTTATATAAAAATTTTAAAATTTCTCCATGATTAAAGATACCACAAGGAAACATAAAGTATGTAGGGAAATATATACAAGGGGTTAGGATATATAATAAAAGAGCTCCTACAAACCAACAAGAGAAAACAATTCAGAAAGAAAAAAGTGAACAGGGGTGCCTGGGTGGCGGTAAGTGTCTGCCTTCAGCTCAGGTCATGATCCCAGGGTCCTGGGATCGAGCCCCGCATTGGGCTCCCTTTCAGCGGGAAGCCTGCTTCTCCCTCTCCCACTCCCCCTGCTTGTGTTCCCTGTCTCGCCGTGTCTCTCTGTGTCAAATAAATAAAATCTTAAAAAAAATTAAAAAAAAAACAACTATTAAAAAAAATAAAAGAAAAAAGTGAATAAAAGAACCAGGTCAAGATATACAAGTCAAAGAAAGGTACAGCAGAGGAAAGGGGAGACCCGAACGGGAGGGGGACTGAGGGAGACGACTAAAAAGAGGAGGTGCTGGAAGAGGGAGGACACAGGGGGAGAGAGCAGAAGAAAAAGTAGAAATATTTCTACTTTTTTATTAGCATCTAGAGTTGCCAAGGAAAAGAGGAAGAGTGTTATCTGACACTGTTGGCAAGAGCACAGCCTGGTGTACTTTTGGCAGAGAAAATGTGATAAAATAAAAAATTTTACTATGTACATTATACTTCTGGTAGTGTGTTCTACAGAAATATATTAACAGGACTGTGCAACAGTGTATGAACAAGATTGTTCACTGTGGTGCTGTCTGTAATGGCAAAGAAAGGTGGGTGTACATCAATAAGGGAATGGTTAAACAAATTACAATACATCTAAATAATTCAGATATAAAGTGTAAACCTATACTCATGAAAAGGAAACCATGACACATTAAGTGGAAAAAGTAACTGCAATATTAAATAGCAAAGATGCTATATCACTATATTCTTGGCAATTAAAACGTCCACAAGAATGGAAGTGAACTTTTAAAAGTGATTATGTCTAGAGAGTGATATTAAAAAGGAAATAACTTGCATTTCCAAAATTTATATACTTCTGTGATACAACTATATTATTTTATAATTAAAAATGTTTAAGGGAAGGGGCACCTGGGTGGCTCAGTTGGTTAAGCATCTAATTTCAGCTCAGATCACGATCTCAGAGTCCTGGGATCCAGCCTGCGTAGGGCTCCGTACTCAGCAAGGAGCCTGCTGCCCCACCCCCAGTTTGTGTGCTCTCTCTCTCTAATAAATCTTTTTTTTTAAATGTTGAAGTGAAAAGCATACAAATTAAAACAAATACTTCAAAACACTAAAAACCTCTTTCTACAGTATTCTTCAGAGACGCTCTTGATTTTTCTTAGAAGTTAATAAAAGTAAAATCCTCCTTGACAGTAACACGTAGAATCAGCATACCACAACCCAAACTCTTTCCATCAATGATCCTGAAGGCCACACTACTGAAAAATCCGTGTTTGGAAACAAAGTGCAAAGTTCATCCAGTCAGCCATTCAATGGCAACTATATAGTCAGAATGCACTAGGAAGCTGAAAGAAATGCTCTCAACAGTTTTGCCTTTTGTGTTAGGCAATCCCCTTGTTTCCACTCTGAAGCTCCTTGACTGAAGCTCCTGCAAATTTTGTATTTCTCTATTTCTGCAACCTAAGTATTTGATACTTTGTATATCATTTATACCTGTTTGCTGGTGGCTGAACTGAACAAACAATCATTTCCTGGCAGCTCTCTCTATGCTGACAAATTTCTAAAGGAGGAAGGGTGAAAACTAAAAGGGGATTATCAATGTGACTTCTCTGAATGGTATCATGGTAAAAATCTACCCAGCATGCCTCAGGTGCTCTAGAGCAGGATTTCCCAGCCGTGGTACTCCTGATAGTTGGGGCAGGAAATTTCTCTGCTGGGAAAGCTGACGCCCCTGCCACAGGATGTTTAGCAGCATCCCCAAAGTGGCTACGGACATAGCCAAGTGTCCCCTTGTGGTCCAAAATCACCCCTCGTTGAGTACTGCTCAATAGTTATTAGAAAAAGCACTAAATACATATTTTATACCCCACAAGCACCATCTCAAATGCATAGATCATCTCCTAACTCATCCTCTTGCCCAGAAAATGATCAACTGCTTTATCCTGTCCAATCAAGCTTGAAACCCCACAGTTGTTGATTTCTGATTCCCCCTTTTCTCAAAACCTCTATATACAATTAATACTAACTCTATTTACTTTTTCCTCATCAACATTTCTCAAATTTCTCCTTTTCTTTCCTTTCCCATCTACGTAGGTCAGGCCCTTAGGATCTCATGGCCGATTTACCTTTCAAGACTCATCTCTTCCCTACTACTCCCGTAAGCGGACTCGAATTTTCTGGCACAAAATCACTCTTGTTTTCTCGCATCCATGGACATGGCCCAAGCTATTTCCATGTTCATGCAAATGCCATTATTTTCATGAAAATTATTAATACAAGGAAGCCAAGCCTTCTTGATAATGCAGGAATCACAGAAGCCAACTTTAGCACTGATGATCAAAGACTCTCAGATTCATCCTACAAAGATTTACTGACAGCCTATGAGGTAGAAACACCGGTGTCCTCTGTGTAACTGGCAACAGAATAAAGTACCTGTAGATACATTTGCACACTTTCATGTTCCCACAAGAGAACCAACCCCCATAACCACTCCATGTCAAAATCCTCCAATTTACCACTCAGAGTTTGGTAAAGTAGGTAAGACATGGACTCTGCTGCAAGTAACAATGTGACTTCCAGGGCGTTATTTAACTTCTTTCTGTGCCTAGGTTCCTTACCTACAAAATAACAGTAATAGAATCTACCTGATAGCGATGTTACGAGATTTAAATAAGGCAATACACGTGAAGTGCTTAGAGCAACGCCTGACATATATTAAGTATTCAGTGCTGCATAGTAATGCCAGAAAGCAGCATAGTCTGTGAGTCTCTGATATCACCAAAATATCAACTTCATTTTCCTCATTTGATATCAGGGAATCCACAGACACATATTACTCTAGCAATCACAAATGAATGAATGATGGGGAGGAGAAACATGCCAACTGTGTGACACTGTGCTAGGTACTAGGATAAACAGATGAAATAATAATAATGACCTAATTCCTATCCTCAAGAAACAGAAGTCTAGGGTGCCTGGGTGGCTCAGTTGGTTAAGCGACTGCCTTCAGCTCAGGTCATGATCCTGGAGTCCCGGGATCGAGTCCCGCATCGGGCTCCCTGCTCAGCGGGGAGCCTACTTCTCCCTCTGACCCTCCCCCCTCTCATGTACTCTCTCTCAAATAAATAAATAAATCTTAAAAAAAAAAAAAGAAACAGAAGTCTACTAGAGGTAACACACATATTACCATGTGAACTGCGACAATGCAGGCACAATGAGTGTATAGGAAAGGTGCTGTCCCACCCACACTGAAAGAATTAGGCAAGGTTTCCTTTAAAATATTCCTAGTGAATCTTGGGAGGACAAAATAAGGAAAAGGGGATTGGGAAATACGACACAATGCCTGAAACAATATGACTGCTGGTAGATCGGCATGGCTGGGACACAGGAAAAGAGGTTAAGTGGGTAAGACGTAAGAAAAGCAGGAAACACATTTAGGGCTATGTATAGCATTTAGGAATTTAACTTGATTTTGAAATATAAGAAGACCCACTAAAAGTATTGGAGTAAAATATCAGAGCTTTTAAAAAACCTACTCTGAATGGACTTGGAAGCTACCTCAGCAAAGTGAGCGTGTCGCCTTTCGTGAGAACCCGCGTGTTGTGAGGGTCTGCCGCAGAAACGAGATCGTTTGGAAAGCGTCGCAGTAAGATGCACACGTTGTGCCGCCGCTGTGGCTCGAAGGCCTACCACCTTCAGAAGTCCACATGTGGCAAATGCAGCTATCCTGCCAAGCGCCAGAGAAAGTATAACTGGAGTGCCAAGGCTAAAAGACGAAACACCACTGGGACCGGTCGAATGAGGCACCTAAAAATTGTATACCGCAGATTCAGGCATGGATTCTGTGAAGGAACAACACCTAAGCCCAAGAGGGCAGCTGTTGCAGCATCCAGTTCATCTTAAGGATTTCAACAATTAGTCACACAATAAATGTTCTGGTTTAAAAAAAAAAAATTATTATTCAACCCTTAACACAATTGATTAATCCTATTATTTAACCCTTCTGAAAGATGATTCCAAAATAAGCTAAGCATTGCTAAGAAAAGAGACTCAAAATAGGGTCCGGGGATATTGAGGAAGCCAGGCCTGTGTATGTCTCCTGCTTCAACTCTCAGAACAAAGAGAACTTTTGACTTTTATCAATTGCAGCTAACCTTCTGCTAGAACACAGCCTTCTACTTTGGACTAAAATAGAGATAATGTAGTATCTGCTAGCTAAACAGCCAGTCTTCTATTAGTCAGTTTAACCCTGCCAGCCCCAATCATAATTGTTTCTAAACAACTTTTGTAACTTTGTGGTTTTTGCCTCTATAAACTTACACTCCCCAGTGGCAAATTCAGAGCAAGCATTTGATTTCAGCTAACTCTGGGTCTCCAGGATTGCCATCCCTAAAACCTCAAATAAATGTTTTTGGCTGCTTTAAAAAAAAAAAAAAAAACCTACTTTGACCACAGCATGGAAAATGGATTGTGAAGGCAAGACTGGAGAGAGAACAGAAGACTTGTACCAATACGTGTAAGAAATTCTATGCACTGACCAAGATCAGAATGATGGAGACAATGAAAGGGATATCTAAACTATTACAGGGTAAAATCAGAACTACTTGATGCCTGAATGTATGTAGGCAGGTGAGACAAGTAACAGTTCCCAAATTTTCCAGCAAGGAAGAAAGAGTAGATGGTTATGTCATTACCAAACAGAAAACACATTCCCGAAAACTAAGAGAAATCTGCTATCAGGGTCTTGCATCTCTTGATTGGTCCTTTCATCAAGTCAAAATTACAACAGTCCATAGAGAAACTGCTTCCTCCTAAATAGACGGAGATTGCCACCAAATTATTTTTTTAAACACTGCTTAGATACTATCTCTAGTCTTTAGAGTTTTGCAAGTTAAATTATAACATGTTCTTGGCCCCGGTGACACAAAGATGAGTAACAGTCTCTGTTTTCAGGTAACTTTCATTCTAAATGTGATGGACACGTAGACAGACAAGACTGAAAGAAAATACAAACAAGGACATTAAAGATAATTTTGCAGGAGACAAGTGCTATGACTACAGTTGAGCAAGGACCATAGCACAGGGAGTGAGTAAGAGGAAACAGGCAGGAGAGGAAAATACATCCATACATCGTGATGATGAATTAAGTGTCAGGGAGGCAAAAAATCGAGATCTTAATCCCTAGGACTCTTAATTAGATATGAATATAGAACACACTGTGTCTGAGATTCTTTCAAGGCAAAGAGAAATTGGGTAGAAACCTGGATAAACACAGGAAGCAAATTACAACCTGGGAACGGATGAGGTAGCTTACAGAAAGGGAAGGCTGAGAAGGCAGGCAGGCAGGCAGGCAATGGAGGAATTCAGACTAGTAAAGGGGCAGGCAGAAAATAAGCATTCACATTTCTTGTAGAATGCTTACATGGAATCTAGATTCATGGAGTCAGGTAATTTTGTGGGCTGTATTTTTAGAAGTCATGTGGTCCAGTCCCTCATTTTACAGACGAAAAATTTAAGTAGATTTCTAAAGATCACATGCCTAATTAATGGAAATTTTGCTTCTTTTCTCCGGGGTGCTTTCTGTTTCTGGATGCACCTCCTCCAAACTTCATGAGCTTGATCTTCCCAACATTATTGAACCAGGTTTATTTTGAAGTTAAATGTATACAAAAACTGCTCAATCAAGTGTCTCTATAAACTGTTAACGCTTTGTCAAGATCATGATTTTGTGATTTTAGTAAGGTTAATCATTAGTATCTTCTCAGATGCTTCAGGTAAGTTGTTAAAATCAGTAATTCTGATTTCCTTTAATGTTTGCATTTCAAAATCCCCAAAGAATCTATTTGGTTAGAGCCTAGTAGTTAAATCATTCCCTGCTTACCAAAGAAGTTTCTGTTTGATACAATTTTAAATTCCAGTGGGAAACTGGAAGGGTAGGCTAGTCTTCCCCTAATAACAAACACATACATACTAACTCCTTAATCTTTTGCTGATGCTGATTTTAGGAGGGGGAAGTGACATTTAGGCTCTAAAGCATACATCATAGCATAAGGCTATCAATTTTAGGTCATACATGATACTCCCAAATTCTTAGCAATGATAACTCCAGCCAAATGATATGACTTGAAGTCAAAAACCTTTACTGTATATTCTCATATAGCATATGTTTTCTGACTATACTGTAAAATATCAATATAAAGTATGTGCCTTACCTCTCCAACAACCTGAGCTCCAGAAGAGTACTTTTTGATGTTTTCCACAACATCCAGTCCAGTGCCTGGTACATACATACTAGGCACTCAAATATTTAATAAGATTACATAATTTTATAGATGGAAAAAAGTAACATATTCTCTAAGCCAATGATTCTCAGCTTGGGAGGAGAAGGTGGATGGAAAGAACAAGACCATCCTTGCCCCTCTTCCTTTGAAAATCCTTGTCACTGGAAGATACTGATGCTGACAAAGTGTTGTATCTCTCAGATGTCCTGAGACAGAAAAATAACTGAGAATAATTTATCTGGTATAAAAATAATTTTATAAATGAAGAAGTGAGGTTTGTTAAGTTAAGCAATTTGACCAACCCAGATTAACATTCTTTGCAAATTATAACCACCTACCTCTTGTTGACTGGTTTCAGGTTCATAACTAAAAAGATGTTTGAAGATCTGCCTCAAGTCAGGAAATTAGTTCAGATGACATTTTAAGGTTCCTGCTCTCATAATCCTATTTTTAAAAATAACTAGTTAGCCTATTCAGTGAAAATCTCTCCCCATATAATTCTCTAAATAATATCAACTGTAAAAGTTTTTAACATTTTAATACTATCAGGCATATCAAATAGGGACTAGTTAATGAAAACTGTTATCTAGGAAATAATACTCTTAAACCCAATTAAAAATAACCAAGGTGTGTTTGGTTTTTCCCCATGTAAAATCCATAACTAAAGATGGGAAATATTACAAGGGACATGTTCAAAATGTAAGCTTGTTACCTGATAGCATTAAGTAATTTCAAATTTGAATAGTACCTATAAAGATGTAAAACTATTTTTTGTTTTAAAATAAAAATGCTTTTCACGATTTTTTAATCAATGTTTTTCAAGTATTCTCTGAATCAAACTGGGATATAAACATTGATTCTACATTTAGAACTGTGTGCACAGACAGGGGCTCCTGGATGGCTCAGTCGTTAAGCATCTGCCTTCAGCCTAGGTCATGATTCCAGGGGCATCAGGCTCCCTGCTCGGCAGGAAACCTGCTTCTCCCTCTCCCACTTCTCCTGCTTGTGTTCCCTCTCTCGCTGTCTCTCTCTCTCTGTCAAATAAATAAATAAATAATCTTTAAAAAAAAATGTGCACAGATATAAAATGTAAAGAAGGAAAATATGAGATACAAAATTGTGTGTATAATAATTGTATATATAAACCTTAATAAGATAAAGAATAAATATGCCTAGGAAAAAATTGAAAAAAAATATGGCAAAACACAAAAGTATTGTCTTTGCGTAAGAAAATCATGAGTGACTTCTCCCCTTTTCCTAATTAAGGATATACCACTTTGATATTGAGAAAAATAGGAGGTGAATAGGTGATCTGAAAGATTTCAAAAGGAGAAATTCTTTGTATTTAGAAGGTTAAGATAGAAACCTTCAAAATAAATCTGTAACAGACTCTTAATGTAAGAAAAATTTACAATTTAAAGTCATTCGGATCAAAACACCTTGAGTTTAAAAAACATTTAAGATTACTTAGAAAGAAAAGGGTGTTGGGTGGGGGGGAGTTCCAGGTAAGTATACTTTTTGCTATCAGTCATTATTGTTCCTAAAAATGTTTCAAATACACCAGTACATATAGGTATGTACACTCACACACGAAAATAAGATTTTTCAAAAATTTCAAAGAAACCAGTGTTAAATTTTCAATGAAAAGCAACTACTTCAGATAAGAAATCATTTCAGTGAATCTGACTACATATTTAAATTCTAGTTACCAGATGTACATTCAAAAAGTACATCAACTAGGTTACAGAGAATAAACCACTTCCTTCAGTATTACAGCTGCACTGACTGTGATTTATTCAGTATGAATTGTTTTTACACTTTAAAATAGCTTTTATATAGCAAAATTTGTCTCATCAAATCCACCATGCACCACCACCTGCTATCAAATGGAAGAAAAAGTTTTACCCCAAAATATTCATTGGGATCAGATTTCAACATAAATATTGCTGAGCCAGCAATCTTTAGAAATTAAAACACTTTAGATGAATAGATTTCAATCTGTATATTACTTTAGATTATATACCTTCAAGTAGCATCCACAAAATTTAAAATCTAATATATGTAATGAATTTAAATTATGGAATTTATGGAATTAACCATTCCATAGCAATAAAATTCTTGCTACTTCAAGAGTTAAGGAATAAAGACAATACTACATTACTAATAATTTTCCTTTTAACAAAGCCATTTACATTTTGGTAATATTGCTGTGATAAAAATTTTGTTAGACCAGAATTAGGAACAAAGCCTTTTTATTTTATAGAATAAAACTGTATATTTCAAAAAAAAAATATATATATATATATATATATATCCCTAACCATTCTTTCCTAGACCTCTCACTTATTCTAAACTCTCCCTGAGAAACCTCATCTATATTCCTATCCCTGGGACTATCTACCCTTGAGACTCTCCCTCACAAATCTTCTTAATACTTCGAAGTACGTCTTAAATTTAGGCATGAATGTATATTTGAGAAACACTTTTTCAACAATGCAGAATAACTAAATTTAATGAGTTCCTACTATGTGCCAAGACATGCTATAATGGCTTAATATATGACTTCATTTAACATCGTAACTACCCTAAAAAATAAGAACTATTATTATCCTAATTTTGCAAATGAGAAATTTATGACATACAAGGTTAA